CCCGTCCCGTCCCGGCTGCCGCGGCCCGAGCGGGGCGCCGCGAGCAAGCAGGAGCGCGGCGAGCTCGAATAGAACGAGAGCCAAGACGCGATGAAGGAGAAGTCCAAAAATGCGGCCAAAACCCGGAGGGAGAAGGAAAATGGCGAGTTCTACGAGCTGGCCAAGCTGCTCCCGCTGCCGTCGGCCATCACCTCGCAGCTGGACAAAGCGTCCATCATCCGCCTCACCACCAGCTACCTGAAGATGCGCGCCGTCTTCCCGGAAGGTGAGGCTGCAGGCGGCCGCGCGGGGAGCGGGGACCCGGCCGCAGGGAGGAGGCTCCGGGGGGCGCGGGCCGGGGCGGCCGCCGGCCGCTGCAGCCGCGTCTCCCGGAGGCCGCGCCGGGGCTGCGGCCGGGCCCGAGCTCGGGGAGAGGGTCGCGGCCGCGACGGGCCGGGCTGGCCGACCACCTCTAGGTCCCGGACAGAGCCGGGAGACCCGAGAGCCGCTGTCCCCTCCTCTCAGCTTCCTCGCTTCCTTTCCTTCCTTCCCACCCAGTTCCTTCTGCTCGCTCTTTCTTCCTCCTCTCTTCTCGCTCTCTTGGCCCACTATAATTTAATTTCCCCCCTTTCTCCCTACTTCTTTCTCGCCCATACTTTGTTTTGTTTGTTTTTGTTTGTTTGTTTCCCTCTCTCCTTTTCTGCTGGCGGAGAACTCGCTGCGCTGCCTTCTCCAAGCGGCTGGTGCGCCGCGGGCCAGCGCTGCGGACCAGCGTCTGTGGGCAGCTGGCCTTCGGACTCGCGTCTCTCCTGCATCTCTTTTCCAACCCGCCTCCCTTTCCTCTGGGAAACAGCGAAATGGACAGGGGAAAAGAAGTCAAAAGTGGTGGGCGGGCCTGAGTGCAGCATTTTAGGATTTAAAGTGGGGTCAGCCAGCAGTTGTCCCTTGCCGCAGCCTTCCTGGGGTTTGCAGGAAACAGCGGCCTGCTGGGCGGACTCTCTCCGCGCTGCCCAGGGTGGCCGGTCGGGCGCCGCAGAGAATCGAGTCTCCCCGGTCTGCGGCGGTCGGAGGGGCTCTGACCGGCTCTGACCCTGTCAGGAAGCACAGGCGCCCAGGCCCGCTGTCTCCAGGCTTTAGGACTGGTAGCGCAGAGCAGGCCTCTTGGAGGGCCAGCGCCGAGGAAGGAGGACAGGGGCTGGGAGGGTCGTTGCTCCGGTGGCGAGCAGGTGTCCCTGGGCCGCAGGGCTCCCCGCCAGTGCTGTTCCCCGCCGGGCGCTGCACCCGGAATCAGCAAGCCCCCTTGGCAGCTGCCACCCGCGAGCCTGTTTTCGCTTTGTCTGAGGCTTAGCTGAAGTTTCCTCCACCACACTGGGGGAGCTCGGCTTCAGTTCTTCGCAGCCGAGGCGCCCGGGGAAGCCCCGGCGGAGCGGGAGCCGTAGCGGGAGCCGCAGGCTGGGCTCTGCGCGGAGAGCTCGGCTCGGGCGCCTGCTGTGCTCCGGCGCCCTGCTGTGCGGAAGCCTCCCGGCTCGGCCCAAGGAACCCCCGGGAATTCTCCCCTTGTTCAGAAAGCTTGGTGCGGTCGCTCCCAGCAGTAAAGGGAAGTTTCAGTGAAAAGTAAAAAAAAAAAAAAAAAAAAAAAAAAAAAAAAAAAAAAAAAAAAAAAACAGAGCTGGGTTTTATAAAGCCAGCTTTTTCTTCGTCTGCTTCCCGCCGGGAAGAGTGCTGCTAGCTGGTGCCCTTAGATCCGCTTGCTACAAAACAGGCGTGTTGATCAGGCCTTCCGCCTCGCGCGGCCATACCGGGTTTTAAAAAATAGAAATCATCAAAAGAGTAAATGACATATTGTGAATGAATTCAAACAAAGCGGAGAGTAGCTGGCGGGGGGGTGGGGGGGGCTGGGGGCAAAGAAGAAGTGGGGACAGTGTGTGCACTGTGCAGCAGCCGTTTAAACCAGCCCGGGCCGGGGGCAGAAGAGGGCCCTGGCTGCGTCCCGGGTCCCTGCAGGAGTCTGTAGGTGCTGCCCCTCAGGAGCTGCCCAATTTAAGGGCCACCTCTGCCTCTCAGAAGGCAACTCTGACGGTTGTGACTCCCTGAAGGGCCCTTTAGCTCGCGAAGGTTTTGGATTGGCGCTGAAATTGCGGGGGCAGCCCTAGGAAAGGGGCAGTGCCCCAACTCTGCCTCCCCTTCCCCACAATGCCCGTGTAGGACGGCAGGCCGAGAAGGGCGGCCTAGGGCCTAGGACTGCCCACCCACTCACTCGCCCTGAGCAGCGACACCTGTTCTCACAGCCCTCCGCTCAGGAGTGGTGGAGCTGAGAGCAAGTACCTCTGCAAAATAGCTTAAGCCCTCCTCCAGAGGCAGTGCTCCCTGGGGTGGATTTAATCTGTTTTGGGGGAACCGGGATAGGCTGAGGACTGCTACACTGAAGCCAAGCTCTCAGGAGCCTTGGTGGCCTGGGCAGTCCTGGATGCGAGCAGGATCTTTAGATCAATTGTCCCAGACAAACCAAAAATATTCTGAGCAAGAACCCCTCTGCCAAATTCAATTTTGCTCTGAGTAAGAGTGCCCAGTGGATGGAGGAGAATCTGGAAGGCCGGCTTGGGACTTTGAGATGCCTCAGATCAGCGTTTGATACCGCCTGCTTTAATAAAGTTCCTCGGTGTGCTGACCTCCGCCCCACACCATTGTTTTCCTTGCTGCTTTTTAACTAATTTTGTTACCGTTATGAATTGAGAACGGCTGCCTAAGAGGAACCCTTCCTAGCTGGGAAAGTGAGGCGGAAGAGGGCAGGCCAGAGGTCCAGCTTACACTGCGGCTCCGAGGCAGGCCAGGCGACACAGGGTGCCTGTGCTCCAACAGCGCGGAGACCACGAGAAAGAGAAAATGGAAGGGTCGGCAGGGCGGGGCAGGGTGGAGGGGGAGAGTCCTGTGCTGGAGAAGCGCCTGTCTTTGCTGAGGTTTCAAGGCTGCGCGTCTCCCCGTCCATTGAGAACAGTTCACAGCATGGTTGTGGATGCAACGGAGGGAAAGCACAGAGGCACCTTGCAGCAAAAATGGAAAGACCATGTCATTGCTGTGCCCAGAAACACTTGGATGGCAAGGAGTGGGGGCATCTCAAGTCTGAAGACCCTCCAGTGTCTACCTGTGTTTTCTTTCCAATACTAAATGATAGGAAAAGCAGACGGACGGTGGGGGGATCCCGGGCAAGGCTGGCTTTGGAACAAGAGCTGGGAAGAGGGGCACACTTAGCGGGTGGGGGGGGTATTGGTAAACAGGGCTGTGGTGTAGCAGCCTGAGCTGTGCTGGGAGACAAGGCCCAGCCTCTGGGGGCTGACCCTGCAGGGGTAGCTAGTGTCCACCTGCCAGCCCGGAGCCCCGCCTGCTGTAGACCCACCAATCCTTCTGTAAAAGAACCCCACTCGGGCTCGAGAGCGAGCGGGTGAGGGTGCCTCCTCTGGGCCCAGCACACCATCCCTTGTAGGAGAGACTGCCCAAGCCACTCTTCTGCCTCTTTTTCCTTTGGGAAGGGGAAAAGGCAGAGGTGCCTTATCCCAGTGTACTTAAGAGAAAACAACACACACACACACACACACACACACACGCATACACACACGAGAGAAGAGGGTGCTCAGGGTCTGAATTGTGCCAACGACTGAATTCTTTGGGGTTTAAACTCAGTTGCGCAACACCCCTCACCTCTCGTCAGACACCAGCAGGGACTGGACTGACTTAGGTCAGGCTTCTTCAGATCAAAATGATTTGATGTCAGAGCTTGGATGAGGACCCTCTAGCCCTGTGCTTATATGGAGTTATGGAATAGACACCTGGAGGCCCTTTGCTCTAGAAAAAGCGAGTACTTTTTAAAAAAAAGACTAACATTTTAAGAATAAAGTAGTTGGTTCTCCTCCTCCTCCTCCTCCTCCTCCTCCTCCTCCTCCTCCTCTTTTTCTTTAGACCCCTTACAAGCTTCTCCCTATCTGTACCGTTGAAGCCTGAGGAGTGCTGCAGACTAAGAAGCTATGAGTGGGAACACAGCTTCCCCCGTGGGCGTGAGCGCTGGGCTCTGCCGTCACTTTCTCCCGTGTGCCCCGAAGGGGTGTGTCCACACTTAATAGGACTAAGTATTTCTTCAGCCTTGAAGGCTGCTGTCTCAGGGGCCTCATGCCCTGGCGTCAGAGTGTGCACTCTAGCCTGTGGTGGGATGCCCAAAGCTTGAAGCCAACGCTTTCCTTCTTGGGGCATCCCTACCCTCTGCCCACCGCTAAACCCATTTCTTGGCCCGCTGATTTGAAATGGGGATGGGTGAGTTTTTCCGGGACCTGGGAGAGAGCAGAAGGACTCTAAGGTAGGGGCACTGGAGAAGCCCAGCTTGTAACAATTTACTGGGATGGGATCTCTTCTCCAAAGAGCCATGTTAGAGAGACTAGCTGTGGTCTCTCCTGGGGAAGCAAGCCCAGGGCCAAACCTCAAGTCCAGCCTGTACACTCCTGCGGAGGCGGCAGCCCTAGGAGTCCCGAGCACCTCCCCCAGGCCCCTTATAGACACTGTGGAGGTGGTGGATTTCGACTGCCCCTGTGGCAGCCTGTGTGCCCTCCGGTGAAGAAAACCCTGCTGCTGGCTCCTCGCGCCCCGTCATTTTTACTGGCAGAATTGGCAATCCTACAGCCTCAGTGGGCAGAACTGGCTTGAAGCTGCCTTCTCCAGGAACACGCTCTCTTCCTCACTCTACAAGAGTCCTATTTGGGGGAGGGGAGGCAGGAGACTCAGAAGAGGAGACAAGGAACTATTTGGTATAGTAAGGGCCTAAGAGCAGGATCACAGTGGTGTTCCCGACCCTGGCTCTCCCTAACTTTAGTTCCAGGACTAAGGTGGTTTAGAGTTGAGAAGGTTAGAAGTCTTGGGATTGACTGAAGATCAAGATTTAGGGGACAGAGGGGGTTGGAAAGCAGAGGAAAGTTCCTAACTGGGTTTTACACTCTCTTCTTTTCGGAAGGCTGGGGGCCTACAGTCCCCTCTACAGAAGGAGGGAGTGTTAACTTCAATAAACTTTCACTAGACCCTGAGAAGGGTCTCCATGTCACCACCTTTTAGATGCAGTATTGAGAGGTGAGAGAGGGGGTGGTGTGGACCACCAGTGTTTTCTCCAGAGCCCAGAACCCTCCTCGCCTGCCTGCCTGGCCAGAAGAATAGTGCTTGCTGGTTCCTTGGTGTGTGGAAACTAGTGTCCTAGAGTGCGAGCCGGCAGCCAGCCTCCCGTGAGAAACTCACTCCCCTCCCGATCTAAATCTCTGTTTTGTGGCCCAGTGTGTGTGGTCTGTGGTTGTACCTGCAATGTCCTAAGCCTGGCTGAGACCCCCATAGTTGCTCATGAGTTGTTTGGTGATCAATTAACCAAAGGCGGAGAGAGGAGGGACCGCATTTAGCTTCTTGATGTCGCTGATCTGCTGGCAAGCAGTACAGAGCCAAGTTCTGACTCCTGGCTGTCGGAGCAGTCATGGGAAATGGGGATATGGGCTTGGCTCCCTCCTCAGGGGTCTCAGCCTTCTGTCTGGGGACTTCCAGCGTGTTCTGTAGAGGGCAGGTGTTGGGGAGCCCAACTTCAAGACTGGGGCCCCCTTCCTAGGGAGAAGCAGGTTTAGGGTCCAGTGAGATGGACCACCACTAACTATGAACTCAGGGGTAGCCCAGCCTAGCCTTCAACTCCACCCTCAACTTCTCAGATAAATGCACAAGCCCCTCGGTGGGTCAGATGAGGGCCACTTATCTCCTGGCTCAGTTTTCAGGGGTGTGCGCATCCCTTCCGTACCAAGGCTCTTCTTTTCATGACAAACCTCACTTTATTCTGTCTCTGAGTTCAGCCCAAAGCATACTTTTACGGGCTGAGTGAAAGACCTCTCCCACTGCGGCTCCTAATGGAACAGCTGGCAGAGCCACTGCCCGGGGATGAGGTGGCTGGCGTGGGGGTGGTGAGTGAAGGGATTGTCCCCCGAAGCCCAGCCACCCCCTGCCAGATCCAAAAGAGGTGCCTTTTTCAAGAAGTTACAGTATAGCAATGTACGGAAACATCCAGGTACTTGAACTATACTGAAAATAGTCCTATGTGCCCAGGGCTCCGAGGTCTTCTAGGAAGCCCGACAGAGATGGGTGGAGATCATTTCCAAACGGGAAGGGTCCCAGAAGACTCTGGGAAGCCAGAAACATTGAAGCTAGGAAGAGGAGAAGGAGGAGGAAGAGGAAGAGGAGGTAGAGGAGGAGGAGGAGGAAGAGGAGGAGGAGGAGGAGGAGGAGGAGGAGGAAGGCAGCTTTGCACTAGAGGGTCAAGGACCGGGCCAGAGCACTGTCCCAATGCAGGAAGGACGGAGGGGAGAGCAGGGGCTAGCTGTCCATTTTCAGAAACTAGGTTTCTGGGATTCTTACTATATTCCTTCTTCTCGGTGAACATTGGGAGCTTTACACCTTGGTTCTTTCCATGGCTGTTTCAGTGGGTTTAAAGGCCTGAGGCACCAGCTTACCTCCCCACAAAAATCTAGCCTAAAGCAAATGGGGGGGGGGGGGGCTTCTGTGGGATGCTTAGAGGGAAGCTGAATCAGAACCACCGTTGCTCATGGGCGGAGGCCTCGAGGGCCCCGGATGAGCTGGGCTTCAGGAGCACTGGGGTCATGTGTCTCTCTGGTAAGACCGGGGTGGGAGTAGAGAGAACCCACCCTCTGTTCCAGATTCCAGAGGTTTCCTGGAAGCCTGTCCTGGACCTCAGGGTAGGCTTTCTATTCCCTAGGTTGGAGGCCCAGCGGCCACGCGCTGTCAGTGACACTTAGGGAACTGTTCATGTGGAGGGGTTTTGCAGCCACACATTTGCTAAGCTGGCCAGGGTGCCTGCCCAGAGTGTCCTTATCAAGCGGCCCCTGACCTGTGACCCCACACATAAGGCACACAGTGGAGATTTGGCCGAGCCTGCAGTTCCACAAAGGACGCTGCTGGGTCCACACTCAACCAGGCAGAGCTGCCAGCCTAGCGCTCCGGGTTTGGGGCGAGGGTGAGGGCTCTGCCCTTGGGGTGGGCAGAGGAAATCCTCTGCCAGGGTCAAGGGTCACAGCGGCCAGTCCTGGGTTAGGGAGACTGGCTCTCCTTCCCCAGGTGCACTCTGGGATGGAAGGGGGTTTGAGGAATCCGGGTAGTGGAGGAGATGGGGAGGGCTCCTGACTGTGACGAGGCCCTGGAAAGCCAGCGAGGTGAGCCTGGGGCTCCGTGCTCCCGGAGAAGCCGTCACGGGTCAGCGTACTCATGATCTTGGCTGCTGCGCGCTGGGAAGAGGACGGCCGCGCAGGTCCTGGGGGAGTATTTACGGTCAAGTCGATACCCTGTTCGGCCCGGGATGGCCGATTTCAAGGCAGATTAGATTACTTTGTGGCGTTTCGAATAAACGGCAATTTCAGAGCCACAGGCACGTGAGCGGCCCTCGGGAGCTGCGGCCTCGGCAGCCTTGGGCAGCGACGTGGGGACCCCAGTTCAAGTCACCCGCCGGCTTTGAGTTTTTGTTTTATGTCTGCGTGTGTGTGTGTGTGTGTGTGTGTGTGTGTGTGTGTGTGTGTTTCTTTCTTTTTCTTTTTTCTTTTTTGAGACACGGTTTCTCTGTAGCCCTGGTTGTCTGAACTCACTCTTAGGCCATCCTGGTCTCGAACTCAGAGACCCTCTTGCCTCTGCTTCCCGCCCCTGTGCTAGGATTAAAGGGGTGCTACACCTTTGGCTGTGGGGTTTGGGTTTTTAGGACCTGGTCAGGGGTGAGCGAGGACGGCGGCGGCGGGGTGCGCGGGGTGCGCGGGCTGCGGGGCTGCGCGTGCCTGGAGCGCTGCGGTTGATGTTTGCCCTGTTCCCCGTCCCAGGTCTAGGAGACGCGTGGGGACAGCCGAGCCGAGCGGGGCCGCTGGACAGCGTGGCCAAAGAGCTGGGATCCCATCTGCTGCAGGTAGGGCCGCGGGGAGGGAGGGTCGCGGCCGCCGGGGTCCCGCGGGGAGGGGCCCCGCGGTGTGGGCCGCCCCGGGGCGCGCCGAGCGCCGACTCCGCCTCACCCCCCGCGCCCAGCGCCCCGCAGGGGTCACGGAGGGACCCCCGAGGTCTGCGGCTGTCACCCGCAACCCGGACGCGGAAGGCCGCCCTGACGCCACCTCTGCGGCCTCCCAGGCTGCCGCTGTCCCGGCGGCCTCGGAGGCCACTGCCGCAGCGGCGGGGCCGGGGTCGGCGCCGCCTCCCTCCCCTCCCAGAACCCCCACTCGCGTCGTCGTTCGTCCCCGAAGAATGCCCGCTGGCGGCCAGTGTGCACTTCCTGCCTCTGTTTGGGGTTTTCTTTAATTAAAAAAAAAAAAAAATCGTCGCGAACCCTGGGTGTCGCCTAGGACCTGCGCGCCCCGGGCAGGAGGAAAACGGGGGCGGCGGTGCCGGGGCGCTCGCGGAGCCACCTGTTTCCAACCTCGGCACCGGCCGAGGCGCGAAGGTGGGGAAAGCCACCGCCCGCAGCCGGCTTCGTGGGTGACCCCGCGGGGGTGACACGCGTTTGTTGGTGCTGTGTGTTTGCACGTTTTTAAAGCTCCTGCTGGCAACTTTCATTCTTTAATCGCAACTTCTAAACCTCCTCGCATTTCCTTAGTGCAGTGGGAGACCACTTTGGTGTTTCTTAAATGAATTTGGAGTCCAGCATTCAGATCAAAATGTTAGAAATGGATTTTTAGTTTTCACATCCAGACTGTCGCCGTTTCCTTTAGGAAAAAACTACGGCGCTGAGTTAAAACTAGATGTTTTTAAGGTGATTCTGCCCTTGGCATGATGAAGGTAACGACAGGCTCGGCGGCGGCGGAGAATTTGGGTAGCGAACTATATGAGCAGCAGCGCGTTAAACATAGCTTCAGATCTCCATTCTTTTCATCATCCCCAACCCTTTAAAGGAGTGGGTTTTTTTTTTTTTTAAAGAAACCCAACAGTAATCTGGTTTCAATTACATGCTGTAAAGATAGAATTTGTAGCCAGAAATTGATTTGGGCTGTTTTTATGGGTGCACCATTGTGAGCTGTACGGGGTTCCTACCAACTTTATTGCCCCCTTTTTTGGTTCCTGATCTTAAAATATGAATGAGTAAATACAGTATAGTTTCTTTTTTCAAAAAGTATTCAGTCTTTTCGTCCTTGGCGCGGCAGTTGTTACTCTTGTCTGAATCACTTTTTACACTCTCACGTTATTTCTGGAAGGTTAGCCAACTCGACAGAAATCAGAATTTCATTGGAGCCGTTTTCATTTCTCAGAAGTCGATACTTTTTTCTCCTTGACTTTAGCAAAGGTCATTTGATCTCTCAGTCTAAATGCTTGATTCTGTAGACACAGTCTGGTAGAATAATTGAACATTTTGTTTTATTTTCTAGGGAATGGCAGTGGTAGGAATTTATTATTCAAACGGTACTTAGGGGTAACTAGAAAACTGTGGCGAATAAAGTGCCGGTCCTAGTGGTGTAAGCGACTGCCAATTCCTACATTAAGTAGCCTGTGGGGCAGTAGAGACTCCCCCAAGAACCATACAACTCCGGATTCGGATTCGTTCTAAGTGCTAAAATAAGCCCAAACAATCAATCCGGGATGGCCAGGCGAGCGGTCGGGACTTCTCAAATGTTTTGCGGCTCTGTGATCTGGGTGAAGCATTGTTTTAAAGGGCTCTGAAAGCACTTGGGAGCGGGCTTGGGAGGTGGCACTTGCTACCCGCCGTCCTGTGTCCCTGGGCTGTTAGTGTCTGTATGGAGGCAAAGCAAGCGAACACTCTCCCCCCAAAGCAACAACCCAGCCCTCCTCACTTTAGTCAAGTCCTCCAGCCCAGAGCTGGGTTCTGGCTGCGGTCTAACTGCTGTCTCTCCCCCGCGCTTTCTCTTACAGACTCTGGATGGATTTGTTTTTGTGGTGGCCTCTGATGGCAAAATCATGTACATATCTGAGACGGCGTCTGTTCATTTAGGCTTGTCCCAGGTAGGTACTGCCCAAGTCCATGAACCATCGAGATACTAAATGTCAACAGTCCCAACACCTCTGCCCAACCTGTTTGAGGTCTATTTGAGGATGTATGAGCGTCAGTCAGAATTTTTTTTTTTTTTTTTTTTTTTTTTTGAGATTAATGTCGGTATATTTCACTGTGGTCAGCCCTGTTCTGGGATTTTGTCGGATTCCTTTGTCATGTGAGGTGGCATGGAAAAGAGCTTTCCCAAGGGGAACCGTCTGTCTGTGCTCATGGTCTGCATGTGCACTGGGGAGGCTGGGAGGGAGGGCTACACTCAGGGGTTGGTCCCTTGGAATTCAGGGTTATTTTCCTGAGGGTTTTTTTTTTCCAGTTCAGTGGCTGTTTCAGTAAGCATTTTATATGCTGTGATAGAAAGTCATAAAATTCAGCTCACTACTGTTTGCAAGGTCCTGCTTTCTTTAGAGCTTTTCCAGGGTACAATTCCTTAGAAGAAGAGGTGGGCTCAGCTTGTCTGTCCCCAGAGAGTTGGCAGAGGCTACAGGCGCATGCTGTCAGGGAGAGGCTGGGGTGCCACTGCTGTCCACGTCACTCACGGCTGCTGGTGTCACATTTTAAACCGTTGTTCTCTGCTCGGTTTTCTGTGTGTATGTAGCGTGTCCTCCACTCCACCCCTCCGCGGTCTCACACCTGCCAACATCTTCCCCACATTCCTGTCTTTCTTGTTTTGTTTTTGTGACCCACTGAGTTTTCTGTGAGTGCTGGCTTGAAGCTACTCCCTGGAGCCTGGTGGACTCACCAGTGAGCAGCAGTGAGGGCCTGGCCCTCCAAGCCCCACCCACGCTGGACCCCAGCCTGACTGTGCAGGCAGACCCTGCTCTGGGCCTTCTGCAGCAGCAAGCACAGCTGCTGGACGCTCAGGATCACAGCGCTGGGTCATCCAGAGGATGGGTTTGCCCCTCTTCTTCTGCCTCTTGCTCCCTTTCCACTCCCCCTTTCTCAGTGCTCCAGAGCTCAGAGGCGGTGGTGGAGGCGTCCTGTTTGGGGCTGTAAGTCAGTGTTGCCACGAGTCTGCGCAGCCAGCACCTCCCAGTGCAAAGAGCAGCTTCTCGGAGAAGGCTGAGAGGAGCATTTCTCTGTGGCTATAAACATGAACTTTTTGGAAGGTCACAGTTTTTATGTTTCTCTATGTTACGAGCTGTCAGCGTAACCGAGTGTGGAAGGCACTAGAATTCGTGGTGAATACAGAGAACAGGCTTTCAGAGATGACACCCGAGCACTATGAACTGGGGGCTTTTTCCTGTAATTAAGCAAAAATGAAGCTTTCTTGTTGAAAGGCAAAATCACCAAATTTGGAAACCCATTTGTGGTGTAGTATTTTTGTTTTTCCTCCAGGCAACACATTTGAAAACATTTGTCACCAGTATGTAACCTCCTCTTGTGCCATCCTTTCTCCTGTCCAGGTGGGTTCCTGCCTCTGTGTTGCTCAAGCAGAGAAGTGAATTGTACATTACAGTTGGTTGGAGGCTTCTTTTCCTTCAACCATCCCTCCTCCTTACCTCCCTCCCTTTTGCCCTCCCTCCTCCTTTTTCCTGTCTACCTCCTCCTCTCTTCTTCCAAAAAAAAAAAAAAAAAAAAGACCAGCTCTTCAGAATACAGTTTAATAAGGCTTAACTCTACTTGTCTCATAGGATTGGCACACTTTTAAGACTGGAAATACTGTTGGCAACATGACATTTACTAGTCCATAGGGCTGGGACAGAGCTCAGAGGTAGAGTGCTGACTGCACCAAGACCCCAGGTTCAATCCCCAAAACAGGAAAGAAGAGGGAAGGAAGGGAGGGAGAGAGACTGTGTCTATTTTCCTTGTGGTTATTTTTCTATGAATTTCTAGATCAGCCCCTTTAGCTGTATGCAGACTAGTTTATTCTCTTGACTTGATCTGTGGTCAAATGAACTTGGTCAGATTATTTCTTATCATTTGTAAAATCGCCGATAGTCCAAAAACTACGCCATAAACATGACAAAACATTCCATGCCCTTTTAGACTCACCGGTCAGCAACCTGTCAATCATAAAATCACGATTATTGAATATGAAACTTAGATCTGAGCTCCCTAGCGGTCAAAACAAAAAGGGGGATCAGTTATAGAGCTGTCATTGCCTGCTTGGACAGGCACTTCATGTCCCGGAACCATCATTTAAATACTAATGTGAGGCCCCTGACCCTCTCTCGAGCACAGATTGAACAGCCTCTTGTGATTTACCAGCGGCTTCATTTGAACTCTGGTGTGGAGCCTTTGGAGGGCACCTGTTCAGACGGGCAGGTTATCTGGAATGCGTTGGCACAGCCTAGGCCCCGGGGGAATCCTAGCCAGCAGCCAGCTCCTCAGGTCGTTTTTTCTCTTTTCATGTGGGAATAGGATGGATTGACTATGGAGACTAATTAAGAATGAGCAAAGTTTGGGCGAGGTGGCCAGTGCTTGTCCTCTCCTGATTAACTCTGCAGAGGGAAACTAGGCAACCTCACGAGCTGTGTCTCACATTTCCTTTTGATCAGGCCCAGAAATAAAACTTGGTAGCATCACTTTTGAAAGGAGAGAGGGACCGTGTGCTTCTATGTTGCAGGAAGGCTGAAGGGTGATTCCTTCTGATTCTGCATCCCCTGAAGAAAGCACAGTTTAAGCAGAGGGAAGCCAAACCATTGTGTACACCTGGTTTCTTCCCACTCCTAAGTGAGGCTATGAGCCCGAGTCAGCAGCTCTGACCGCTGCTGCTGCTGCTGCTGCTGCTGCTGCTGCTCCTTGACCCTGAGCCCCTTGTGTCTGGGCATCCCTGGTAAATGTTTAAATAAACAACAACAAATCTTACCGCAAACGCACCTCCTCCTCATGACTAATGCCACAGAGGGAAAGCCAGGCAGATCTGCAGTGTTTGTTTTCTTCTTTTTTATTGTCTTCTTTACTTAAACTGTAGAGAGAGGGATTTAATGAGATATCAAGCCAACTGCTCTGTTTTGCATGCTGGGCTGTGGTGGGGCACAGCTTTAATCCCAGCCCTGAGGCAGAGGCAGGCAAGTCTCTGAGTTCTAGGCCAGCCTGGTCCAGGACAGCCAGGCTACACAGAGAAACCCTGTCTCAAAAAAAAAAAAAAAAAACCCAAAACTTACCAATAACAACAACAGAACAGGTTTGTACCCTTGAGGTTATCTCTGTAATTAGCAAATGTGAGGCCAAGATGACAAATATTCATGCTGTGAAATGTATTTGAAGATGGTTCTTAGACAAGATCACTGGAGATGAAAGTGTTGGAGAAGGGGTAGAGTTCCACAGTTGGTGTGTGGCGTGAGGCTGGGCTTTGCTCCCCGGGACAGAAAATAACCTAAAGTAACGCTGGGAAGACCTTTTGGAGTAAGCCTGGTGCTTTCTGCCGAACGACGGGCCGCCCTTTCTGGCTTCTGGCTGCGTGGTGCCGTGCTCGGTTCACAGGACCCCCAGGTTACACTCAGCAAGAGCAGATCCTGGGGAGCGCACGCCGCTCTTAGCCGTGGCTGTGTAAACCCTCACAGGAAGGGGTTGCTCCATCAGAGTCATCTATTTGAGGTGGAAACAATCCCTCGTGTGTAATAAACCCATCTTCACTTAAGGGCCATTATTACATTTTAAAAATAAATGCCGGAATAAGAAATCTATTTCTCAGGGCAGAATTTTACTTTTTGATTAGTAAACTCCTGTCAAACTCTGGTTTAAAAACAACAGAACGAATTATGGGCTGTGACTTGTGTCCCCAGCCCAGCTCCACAAGTGGGGAAACAGAGTCTCTTTAGTTCCCAAAAGTCACGTCAGTGTTTGTGCTCAGACATAGAACACATGGATGTGCTTAATGTATCTGTATGGATATTTGGGGAGAACTCTTTATCCATAACATTTGCTAAAGAAATCTTCCCCTTCTTTCATATTGTTAATATAATCATCTTACTCATATTTGATGAAGGGAAAATAGAATTGTATACATCTTTTAAGTATCCATATGTTTAAATCTAATGAAGTTATGTTATACAATTCTAGGTAACTAATACTCATGTTCAAAGACATGCAAACATATCTGAAATGGCTACTTATGGTACACATAAAGAAAAATGCAATAAATGAGAAGGATGCCAGAAACTGGCCAATAAAAATAGCAGCGGTGCCACTCAGTGGCAGGAGGCAGAAGCCTTTCGTTTGTTTACATAACTTGAACCCTTGAAGCCCCAACCATCTTCATTTCAAATGTGTCATCTGCTGTACTCTGCAAAACGCCAGGCAGAAACGTGCACATTTCCCAGGGGCCGGTGACTCTGCCTTTCCACACAGAATCTGTCCCTTTAGTGTCAAATTTATCATCTCAGCTTTCTGAGAAGGATGAAACCATTTGGCAAAGCATTAAAAAGCTCTTAGCGGGAACGCCGTTGATTTTGCACTCAGCAGGGTTTTGCAGACTCTAAAACGGCGCGTTGGAGCTCTGTTTTAATAAGGCGTGAGACCCGGGGAGTGTCCTGGAGACAAACACTTACCTGTCTTTTGGGGGCTGAGGTGGCATAGCTGCATTTCTCTCCGTATTTAAAAGCATGAATACATATATAAATACAGGAAACACAACATCAACCATAATTTTGAGTTAAGGTCAGCACGGTTATGTATTACTCCATATTTTTTCTTTGAAGACATTTCCATTGTTTGAAGGTTATCTGGCTTCCTAGACAATCCCATTTGTTTTATGATGGACCCTAGAGCTCAAAAAGAAGAAAGAAAGAGAAAGAAAGAAAGAAAGAAAGAAAGAAAGAAAGAAAGAAAGAAAGAAAGAAAGAAAACAAGCCAAGTTCTTCATCCCAGACCTTGGCTTGCCTGAACTCCCACCTGTCATACAGGAGCTTTGAAACCAGCAGGAGCAGTTTAACTAAAAGGCCAGTTGTTCTGTGCCACAGAGACAAACTCTCTGAAGATGTTTGTCACAGAGACGTCACTTGAGTCTGACTTTTTCCAACAGAACTTCAACCGAGACAAAATGCTCACTTCCAAAAAAAAAAAAAAAAAAATGCGAGTAGGGGAGAAATAACTAGACAATAGAAAATCCATTCCGCCTCGGTTCGTTTTGTTTTTAAAATAAAGCAGAGAACCTAGGGGGGTGGGAGTGGACATGGGGGCTGCTGGAGGGAGGGAAGGAAGGAAAACCAGAAGGAGCCAATGTTTCAGCTGTTGGCTGGGACATTGCCATTGCCCTGCAGTGAATCCCCCCCGCCGGAGGCCTTCAGAGAAAGGTGATGTTCCCACCTCAAACAGCTGGCTTCAAGGTGGCTGGTTTTACAGACCTTTTAGGGATTAACAAGAATGTTGTGCAAGAAAAATGATTCCTTTTTATTTTTTTATTATATTACTTTTATAAAATCATCTGGCCAGGAAGGTGGTTCAGGAGTGAGGGTGCTTGCCACCAAAGCTGGTGGCCTCAATCTTCAGTCAAGTTCAATTTCTAGAACCCATACAGTGGAAGGAGAGAGCCAGACCCAACAGGTTGCCCTCTGACCTCCACATGTGTATGCCTCTCCCCAATGCACACGCACACACATGACACATACGAACACACAAATGCACAGCTAGCCATTAATCCAAAAGAATGGAAACACGTTTTTGAAGTTGTGTGCTGTTTGCACACAGGCAGCTGATCACCGGAGCTGGTTGTGGAGCCTCGGGTTTGGAATATGGGTTAGGTAGATGGCAGGAGCCGTTTTGTGCTTGGGTCCCCATTGCCCTTTGTAGAATACTGGAAAAGACTCCACACACGATGGAGAAAATAGGATGGTGGAGGCTGCTTGGGGGCAAGACTTAGACTGCCGTCTGTGTCAAGAGGAGAAGTAGCTCTCTGGTCTTGACAGACTGGGAGAGCTGGCTAAGCAGGGCGGGGAAGCAGGGCGGGGAAGCAGGGCCTGCCTCTCCTCTGCTTTGTGGCCTCGGCAAAAGCTGGGGTGGAGGCTAATGGGAAGCTGCGGGTGCGGGGAAGCAGCTCCCTAAGCTGCTCCTGAGGTGGCCCAGTCAGGGCCACCCCTGGACAGGTGATCCTGTGACCCACAGCAGCCAGCGCCAGCTGGGTGCTCAGGAGTGTCTGAGGTGAGGGACGGCAGCACCACACGGCCTGTCTCGGCCGTCTTGATCCACCCACTGCTGGGCAGGGCTGAGAAGTTCTGCCATCTGACGGCACCTTGCATGTGTGCTTTGAGCTTCTCCCCACACTGGCTGGGCTTTGAGGCTCGATGGCTCTGACGGAATCAATTCCACCACTCCTGGGCCACCTAGGAACATTAGGTGTGCTGCCTCCGTGTGCTGCTTGGTATCCCTCAACTCTTGACTGTATTTCTAAGAGCCGCCAGCAGTGCCCAGGAGGCTGTACCAGGGCCCTTGTCCAGCAAGGATGCTGCCTAGGCCCTGCTGGGGAGCTCCCTGTGGGGCGTGTGTGGGAGCCGGTGAGGTCTGAATGCTCAGATAGTGACCTCAGGAAGTAACTGCTGCTTCCTGTGGCCAAGGCCCCACCCCCTCAGGTCACAGGTCATGCAGAGGGACCCAGCCACACCCTGGGTGGGTCCGAAGCGTAAGCACAGTCAGTTTGGACTGGGAAGGTCAGAGACACATTCCTGGCAACACCAGGAAGCTCTGGCAATGCCTGGGGCATGGTTCAGTGCTGACACAGAAGGGGCCTTTGTCTGAGTGGCATGGCAGGCTTGCTCTGTGGTTCTCAGCTGGCCAGCCTCTGAGTGGACATGGCTCTCCTGGTGGCAGGAAGGCTCTCGGCAGCTGGTCTCCAGCTGGCCATTCCCCGTACACAGCACGCAAGTGACTGACATGAAGGCCAGAGCCCCAGCTTGAGAGTTTTGAGATGTTCCCTGTCTGGAGGGCACAGCCCAGGCCTCTGTCCACGGCCGCCACCTCCACCCTTCAGCTTGTCCTCCGTCCTGTGCGTCTCTTCTGCTTAGGACCCTCTGGAAGCTCAAGCCCATTGCTCTTGGCTTTTTCAGGGGGTGGGGCGGGGGCACAGTTCAGAGCTCTTTGCATCTGGCCAAGGTGTGAGCTTTAAGAAGGGGCCAGAGTCCTGTCCCTGTCCCCGTGAGCCTTAGCACCCTGACCTGTCCTTGCCTCTTGCGCCCGCGCTGACCCTCCCCTCCCCTGGCAGGTGGAGCTCACGGGGAACAGCATCTACGAGTACATTCACCCTTCGGACCATGACGAGATGACAGCAGTCCTCACGGCCCAGCCTCCGCTCCGCCATCACCTGCTGCAGGGTCTGTCCTCCGAGGCACAGGGAGCCGGCGTGGGCCACGGCCACTCTCTTCCCCTACCCTCAGGGTTTGCTTCCCACACGCAGCACCCGAGCAGTGTTCGGGCCTCGTGCTGCCTGCTCGCAGTGGCATGGAGCAAGCCCAAGGCTTTGTTTGCGCCAGCCGAGGGCTCTTCCCCGTTTGCGGTGCCAGTTCTGCCATCCCTGTTATGCGCTGTAAGCTATTCAGCCTCGGGTCACAGGCTGCTGCTTCAGAACCCCAGGGCGGCCCGTCCTGAGGCTGGACCTGCTGCTTCTGAGGATGGAGCCTGGGATTGGAGAATTCAAGACAGCAGGGGAAATTATGTCTGTGTAATTTAGGTGCAATTTAGCGTTTCCTTTGCATGTGGCCGGGGACTTTCTTTTTTAAATGATTCATTTATTACTTACAGAGCCTTCTGCCTGCATGTGTGCCTACACACCAGATCTCACTACAGACGGTTGTGAGCCACCATGTGGGTGCTGGGAAGTGAACTCAGGACCTTTAGGAAGAACAGTGTTCTTAACCTCTGAGCCTTCTCTCCAGCCCAGAGGCTTTCAACCATGATGGGGTCATTTGAAGCCTGGCTTTGCTGTCGCTGACATTACAGATATTTAAAACCATCTATGTGGTGGATACTTGGAAACTTTCTGAGTGATGAGGCCCACGACTGAATCTTAATTTAACACAGTAGATAGATAGTTATATTCATATTGCCATGCTTAAATATTTTGGCATTCTTTACCCACATAGCTGGTTTCTTTTGTAATCTGTTTTATGCATTTGGAAGTATTCTGAGCAGGGACTTTAGGTTGTGTGCCATGGCACAGATTGGCACAGAAGCCCTGGGCATCACACACACGCCTCCTTAAATTACAATCATAATGAGTGCTAGGAAGACACACGGCGAATTCCGGAGGCCCAGGCCTTTCAACTGCCCCCGGCAGCCCCATGAGGGATGCCCCATGACTAATGCACCCTGTGCACCTAGGGCTACAGTTCCCTGCTTGGCCAAACTTTCCCTCTGTGAGGGCTGAAAAGGGAGCGGATAAACCATCTGCTGACGGTTCAGCAGGGAAGGGCTGAGTCGGAAGGGGGAGCCCTGCATGGATAAAGACTTGGGAAAGGGTGTTGCAAAATGACCACCACCTTACCGAGCTATGGTGTCCCAGCACCCACCATGTAGCTGGCAAGATGTGAACATGCCTGGTTCCCCTGCCAGGGACAGGCGCTCTGTGATTGGCATTGGGTATCTGCTTCCTTGAAGGAAGTTAGATGTTTCCGGGCCTTTCCAGTAGTCCCCCTGGCTCCCAGTCCCTCTCTGGCATGCGAGAAGGAAGGTCCAATTCTTTCAGGCTGACCCCACTGGTTTCCAAGGTTCTTGCTATGGCCATGCTTTTCTTCAAAGTTTTGGAAACTGTACAGGATGGATAAGGTCTCTTTCCCTGCCCACTCAGACTTGGGTTGTTGGCAGAGCTCTCGCAGGGTCTGTCTGGCCTTGGTGAGGGAGCAACTGGCTGCTATGTCTGCCCTGGGGGTTTGCTGGTGCAAGGTGGGAGGCTGGGGGAAAGCAGTCGGGACAATTCCTGTCTCATGGTGCCTCTGCTTTCAGAGTACGAGATAGAGAGGTCTTTCTTTCTTCGAATGAAGTGCGTCTTGGCAAAACGAAATGCAGGCCTGACATGCAGTGGATACAAGGTACGCTGGGCTCCTGGTGGGAGTGGCCGGGCCTTCACTGGGTAGCTTATATTCTGCTTCAAGTGGGAACACTCCAGGCAGGAGAGAGGGTGGGGGAGTCTGCGTCACCTCTGCCAGGACAGAAGTCTTGAGCAAGGCTCAGGGTGGATCACGAGTCCAAAGACCTGGCGCTTTAGACAGAGGTTCCAGGCTGGCTGGATTTCCTCACGTAAGACTGGGATTGTGGCGGCTTAGCATGGACTATTGTCCCTGCAGCCCTGTTCCACTTTGCAAGCCACAGGCCAGCATCGCTGGGCTCTCCCTGGGCTTGCTGAGCATGCGGCCCCATTCCTGGGCAGGGTTCCAGAGCAGCCTGGAGCAGCTGCCTCACAGAGATGCTGCTCTTACCTCTGGAGTGTTCACGTGAATCCGGTCCCTACGATGGCATTTCACAGTGATCGCCGAGGCCCTCCCAGGTGCCAGGCGGTGCCCTGTCTGTGCCACCTCATCCGGTTGGCCATCCTGGCCCTCTGAAGGGAGTAACGCTGGCCTTGGGGGGCAAAGGGAGAAGGGACAACGTGCCGAGCTGAGCAGCACAGCTGCGGCTTCTTGCCCAGCCTGTGGTTGAACTTCTGTGCTAGATATGGCCACCTGCTGAGGGTAATTCCAGTGTCTAGGTGTGTATCAGCACATGACTAGTTGGCAATACTGCGCCTCAGTGTTAGAGACAATAGTTTCCAGGTGGGAGGGCGGGTTGGGGACCACCAGGCAAGACCCTTCCCTGGCTTCCTCACCCTCTCCCAGGAGCCCCCTGTGCTGGGGCATGGTGCCAGGAGCTGTGCAGCTGGGTGGCCACCCTTTGTGCTTGCTCCTTGGAAAAGGAGGGCCGTGGTTTCGGGGTGCTATGAGGCCTTTTGGAATGCCCCTTTCAGCCCAGCATCTTCAGCTGCCTGCTTTTTCAGCCAGTGAACCCTTCCTTTGACCGTGGCCTTAATCCCATGCATTACTTTTCTATTTTGTAGTTACTTTTTGCACAGCTGGGATTAAAGCTAGAGCCTCAAACACGCCAGGCAAACACTCTAAGACCAAGCTCTCCCAGTGCTTGGGAGGCAGAGGCAGAAGGGTAAGGTCAAGGTCATACTCCATTAGGTTGTGAGTTTAAGCTGGCCCAGGCTACAGAACCTGGTACAAGTGTGTGGGGGTGAGAGGGGAGGGGGGGAGACAGAGAGCTAAGGGTGCAGATGGCCACTGGCATAACAGTCGTGGTTCTTGCAGGAGTGTTGAAATGGCAAACACACTGACCCATGGGTGGAAGGTGGTTCTGGTGCCTCCAAGTGCCTCACGTGCCCTGGGAACTATGCGGTCTCTCCGGCATGGCTTTGCTCTCTAACTGTTGCCTGGAGAGACTGCACAGGACTGGTGGTCCAAACTCAGTACCGTTTATCAAAACCTGAATTGTGAACAAATTAAAAGTTAACATATTGGCCTGGAGAGGTGGCTCGGCTGAACGAGACCTCGCCTGCAAGCATAGACATCTGAGTTTGGACCCCAGCCAAAAATAGTTGAAATAAATAAAAATTATACTGAAGGAATTGTTAATTTCCTGGAGTGATAAGAGTGTATTGGGTGATAGAAACGTCAAGTTTACCCCATGAAGCTGGAAAGCATTTGCAGGAGGGCAGCTGGTCCCCTAGCTTTATTTGCTGTGCTCTCGAGTTTACGTCCAGCTGTGTCACTGAGCCTGAGTCTGTGGCTTCCCTCCTGCCACCTGGCCAGATGAGAAGCCATTGTTTCTGACAGTGTTTCCTAAGAGAGACATAGATCCTTCCTCCTGAGCAGGGAATCGGGCTTTTATCGGCGTGCTGATTTTATAGTTCCACAATAACTGGACTGAGGAATGCTCTCGCGTTTGAATAAAAACAACCAAGCCGAGCACAGTGGTGCCACTGAGCGTGCGCCCTCCTTCCCAGGTTATCCACTGCAGCGGCTACCTGAAGATCAGGCAGTATGTGCTGGACATGGCCCTGTACGACTCCTGCTACCAGATAGTGGGGCTGGTGGCCGTGGGCCAGTCGCTGCCGCCCAGCGCTGTCACGGAGCTCAAGCTGCACAGCAACATGTTCATGTTCAGGGCGAGCCTCGACCTGAAGCTCATATTCCTGGACTCCAGGTGAGCGCCCCTCACCGTCACCACGCGGTGCCCAGTGGTGGGAACTCATCCTCACGAGTGAGGAAAACTATAACAAGAAGAAAGACCTACCAAAGGTGTGGGTTAGCGAGGGGGTTAGCCGTGAAGGGAAGGAACTCACGGCGGAATCACGATGCAAGGGCTTTTAGTTACCTAACATCCCAGTCACCTTACAAGTTTGTGATGAGAATACATGCTATGATGAGAGAGGGCCCTTCCTCCCTCTCTCCGTCCCTTCCTTTCTTCTTTCCTTCCTTCCTCCACTCCTCCTCTCTCTTTCTTTTGAGACAGGGTCTCATGTAGCCCAGGCTGGCCTCAAATTCACTATTTACCTGAGGATGACCTTGATCCCGCTGCCTCTTCCTCCGTTGCGCTAGGATGGCGGGCACCTACCTACCGTCAATCTTGTCCTCTGTTTGTCTTCTCTGAAAGCCCATAACTTGGGTTCTCCCTCATCTTTCCTCCACACTGGCAGGACTTGAAACAAAAGATCTTCCAGTCTGAACATTGGGTGAAGTTCCTACCTCTGTGATGGCCACAAAAGTCAGTGGTGGGGAGGCTTGACCCCAGCTTGCGGGTACCTTGTCAGTGTCTAGGCTGGGGGAGGGAGGGTGAAGGCGCAGAGACACCGCTTTTGCTTCAGGAGGCCTTGCTGGAGCAGCTTCTGACCTTACCCAGAGTGCGTCAGGTCTCCAGTTAGATGTTTTTATCTATTTTGTTGCCCTGGCTGTCCTTTAGACCAGGCTAGCCTCGAACTCACAGAGGTCTGCCTGCCTCTGCCTCCCAAGCGCCGGGACTAAAAGCATGCACCACCACACCTGGCCTTGGAAGTTTACTATTTGATAGCTGGTAGCTATGTTTCATGGGACACCTGAAGTGTTTTGATACTGGTGTGCCACACATTCTGGAATGATCTGGTCTCCACAGATGTTGAGGCCTCAGCTGGTGCTGGCTTCTCCCACTGCCTTTTAGGAAAAACTCTGTCAGCCATGTTTACCCCTTGATACTTGAAGAGGAAAGTAGACAACAGGTGTGGGACAGTGGGAAACTCAAGCCTCATATATCTGCAAGGCCATGCTGCTGCTTGGCTTGGGGGTCCCTTGGCTGCACAGGCCAAGGTCCTTTAGGAACCCTAGGAACCAAGCAATCCTCCTGCCTCAGGGAGAAGCTGTCACTACAGGCCTGTGCCACTATGCTGGGCTAATGATTGTTTTCTGTTCAATTTTTTCAATAGCAAAGACTCACTCTTAATTCTACAACTTGTGAGGCTGAGGTAGGAGAATTACTATAAGTTCCAGGCTAACCTGAGGCAGATTCAAAGCCAGCTTGGGCTACAGAGTGAGGATGTCTCAAAGCCAAAGAAAACAAACAACTTGTAAAGAAAGGAAAAATAAAGCATTAAAATATTCCATAGAATTGATCATTTTACCCACTTAGTGATTCTTTACTGGGAAGAGATAAATCCATCTGGCCCAGGATGGGATGTGAGCTATGAAGTTAGTCAGGGTTGATTCTCCTATTCCTCAAAGACGTTCAAAGGGCTGAGAAGTGAGAGAGATGCCATCACAGAAAGTACAGCATCTCCCTAAAATCCCAAGCAAAAAATAAATGGAATCCATTGGCCAGCACCTTCCGGGATGGCTGAATGCTGGTGAATTCTGTGTTTCCTGCAGAGGTAGAGACTGCAGGTTGGGGGCATGAGCTGTGTCAGATCGGGGGGGGCACTTCTGGAAGCAGGCCGGATGAAGGCTGTCGGGGTCACGACTGAATAGGTACAGAGGAAAGAACTGGTTTCTTCTTCCCTTCGCCTCTGTCTTAGAGTTACTATGGCTGTGACAAGTCACGGCGCCTGAAAGCAAGCTGGGGAGGAAAGGATGCATTACACTTCCACAGCACTGTTCATCACAGAAGGAGGTCAGGACAGAACGCCAACAGGGCAGGAGCTGATGCGGAGGCCACGGAGGGTGCTGCTCATTGCCTTGTCTCACTTGGCTTGCTCAGCTGCTTCCTTATAGACCCCAGGACACCAGCCCAGGGACAGCAGCACCCACAGTGGCCAGGGCCCTCTTCTACCAACCACTAATTGAGAAAATGCCTCCAGCCGGCTCTCATGGAGGCATTTTCTCTGCTGAGGCTCCCTCCTCTCTGATGACTCTAGCTTGTGTCAAGTTGACACAAAACCAGCCAGCTTGTATTTCTCAGCCACTTCCAAAGAAACCCCCAAGAGACCCACTGAATTCTCTGAAAGAACAGAAAAGGCCACATCTCTAGAGGAGCGACTGGACGTCTTTCCCAGTTGCTCAGCTCACGGCACCGTGAAATGTGGAAGGTCTTTTCAGGGAAGGGTGGAGGCTTCATGGAAGCCGGGCTGCTGTCATGAAGACCCTAGTGGGGCCGGGACCCTTCACAGTCACTTGCACTTCTGTGCTGTTGCAGCAAATGATCATGAAAGGCCTCTGGGCTGGAGCCAGCCCTGTGAGGACAGCAAGAGCCAGGTCAGTGCTGTTCCAGCACCCAAGCCCCAAGAACTTCAGCGGGGAGGGTGTTGGCCTGAACTCCCCGAGCCACAGGAGCGAGGGTGGTGAGCCTTGGGAAGCAGCTGCTGGCTGCCCGCACAGCACAATCCCAGCACATTTGGGTCTTCGAGGGTTTTGTGATATCTACTTTGAAACTGTAGCTGGTACTTCAGCTAAGGCTGGGTGAGGCCAGAGATGTCTGGGCTGTGGCATGTCCCTCTGACAGGTCTACAGATGCTAGAGGTTTGGACAAACCTGGGAGGGCATCCTGCCAAGACTTTCCCCTACCCTTTAATTTTTAAAGTTGGTGAATAGTTTGAGGAGAACATGGTGCATGAGTTTCTGATTTTTCAACACATTTGAACCCTTGCTGTATTAGCTCAATGGCCCAGAAGCGTGCAGAGATGTCTGGGCTGTCTTTACCGTCCTTCCCCAGTCAGATCCTGTTGGGTTTGCAGTTCTAGGGGACCTCTGGACAAGTCTCTAGAGCACTGAACGACCAGAGCAGGAGCCAGGGACAGCCCCATATACTCATCTGGAGCCCTGTTCCCTCCCATCTCAGAGGAACACCATTGGAACACATGTGCCAAACGGAAGAGCCATTCCAAGGAAATCCGAGGCCTTGAGAGCTGTGTGATACGGGCCTGAGGAGATTACAGAATGAAAGCAGGGTCACGTTTTCTGGTTCTGTCTGTGGCTAGCATTTCACAGCTGGCAAGCAGGGCCGTCCGTGCCAGCCTCCTTCATCAGCCCCCAACCCCTCCACCATCTCCAACCTGACTTCTCCCCGCTGCCAGGTGGCCCTGGGGATCCTTTCTTCTGCTCTTTCATCTGCCCTTAAATATCTGTCACCGACATGCTTAGGCCACCTACCTCTTTTAAGGACACGGTTCCCAGCTTGGCTGGCCCAGTCTACAAAGCCTGCCACACAGCACTTCCCTCATGGAAAGGCGGCCCACGGCGGTACTGACCAGGGCTTAGCTGCCGACAGCCACTTCTCTTCACTGCGCTGAGGTGGGAAATTAATACGTCTGGGGCGCGTTGAGGGTAGAGGGGTCGTGTCTCAGGCACACTGGGGAGGCCGTCCACCCCTCCGGAGAAGGTGATCCCCACCTTCCAGCCAGAACGGTTTCAGTCATTGCCCTGTTTTCTGGAGGGGCCTAGGGCTAATCCTTCGCGGAGACCAGGCTTAAACAGTCCTTCTGTAAGCCTTGTTAGTAGGAGCCACCTCTCAGATCTGGAGACGGCACCCTGGTTAACAGTGCCCAGCGTAGAACAGCGACTTAAGCAGCAGGGCCAAGAAGAGGAAGCGGCCTCAGACCCCAGCAACAGACAGGCGAACCAACAAACGCACTCTCACCACGAAAGAGAGTAGTACTCAGTCGTAGAAGGGGTGTCCGGGCACACACCACCGATGGCAGTGACCTTCAACATGTGGCATCACTCCAATCTAGGACGCACAAGTTCAGGGAGGCAGGAGGCTGACGGGAGGCCTGGGCTGGAACTCAAGGCCTGGTGTTAGGGGAAGGAAGACTGGGATGTGATGCTTTGAGGGTGAGGAGGGATGAGGGAGTGTGGGAAAGTGTGATCACCTTTTAACCGCCAAAGCATGCACACAGAAAGGTAAGAGAGTAACTACTATGGGATGGGTAGCTTGTTAGGCTTGAACAAACAAAGGATCAGGGGAGAAGCTCAGAAGGCAGTGTCTGTGTAAGCAGATCCTGGAGCCACGCACAAAAGCCCCTCCTGGCTGTGCGGCCTACCATCCCAGCACCGGAGGGCAGAAATGGAGGTTTGCATGCATTAACCCACACATAGAATGAAACAGAACCCGGGGGACAGTCTCCCCAGGCCCTAGGGCTCTTCCCCGCTACACAGCTTGTTTCCATGTTTGTGTCAAAGCTCTCCTACAGACAGGCAGGGTTCGAGAACGGTCCCGCTGCTGAGCCGTCTCAGACCCACTTGCAGCCAGTTCCAGGACACTCTTGCTCACAGCTCTACACCCACCCCGAGCTGGAGCTCAAAGGCTTTCTTCCTGCAGAAAAGATCATTCCAAAACCAACAGCCCCACCCCTGGGCCTCTTCGCACTTGATCAGTTGGCAAAGCCAACACCCGTGTAAAGGAAATTGCCTAAGAGCCACTTGACTCATGGAACCTCGGTCCTTCCACAGGGTGACAGAGCTTACGGGCTACGAGCCACAGGACCTGATCGAAAAGACACTATACCATCACGTGCACGGCTGTGACACCTTTCACCTCCGCTATGCGCACCACCTGCGTGAGTACAGAGTGCTGGGCCAGGGGCAGCTAGCCAGGGCGGAGGCGGCAGGGACAGGCAGGAGGTGGCAGGGACAGGCAGGAGGCGGCAGGCATATGTGTGAATGAGGAGGTCCCGTGTGGCTTCCTTTGCCTCTTGCTAGCACTGGCCCCTGCTGCCTGTTCCCAGCCATGCACAGGCATGGTATCAGGGACAATGCCAGCTTCCGGTGGCCTGGATTCTAGACTGTGGACTCGGAGGCCTGGCTCACCTACAGGAGCTGGGCTCCAACCATGAATGCCAGCAGCATTGGTACAGCAACAGCCTGGAGCCCTCACTGTGCGTGGCCAGTCCTGGGACACTCAGCGGAAGGCAGGGGGCTGGCAGGCTGGGGGCTTCCAGCTGGGGCCTGGCTTGTATCCCCGGGTTCTGCGCCTGTTTTGTTCTGGATCAGCTGAAGGGTGTTAGAGGACGTTTACTGATGTCCCTGGAGGCGGCTGGAAGATCCAGCAGCTGCTGTGAAGATCTTGGCTGTGCAGTTGACAAGGGGTTGGTGAATAGGATGTTATTTGGGCTTCTCTCCACCCTCACGTCTATATGGAGATCTGCCATGACCAGATCCCTTGCCCCTTGAAGAGTTAAGAACAGTGTGTGTGCATGCGTGTGCGCGTGTATTCTGTGTATGTGTGTGTACATGTCTGTACACCTGCACATGTCTGTGCACAAGGGTGAAAGCCAGAGGCCTCATGGGAATTTTCCTGTCTCCAGATATTGCCAGGCCTGAGGGAACTCTGCCAGGATCATTGTCGGCAGACAGAGCAGACTCAGGCCCTGGGGTCCATCCCCACTGGGATGGTCCAAGGCATCTTGGATTTTTGTGGCTGTTGTTTAGACAGGGTGTCTCTGTGTAGCCCTGGCTGTCCTGGAACTCACTCTGCAGACCAGGCTGGCCTCAACTTGGATCTGCCAGCCTCTGCCTCCCTGCTGGGATTAAAAGCGTGTGCCTCCCAGCAAGGCATCGTATCTATAGAGAAAGTTTGTGACCAGTTTGGGATACAATAGACCTTGTCTCTAAAGGAAAGTGTAGGGACCGCACTGGCTGCTGCTCTCAGTCCTGGGGTGCTCTGGGAGCCAGGGGGAACCCCGGCCTTGGAGCTAATGAGGTAAAAGGGGAAAGGGTGTCCACCATTTCTCCAGCAGTTCCTGTAGTTCCCGCTGAGAACTGCTGTCGAGGACACTAATCCCCTGACTCATCCCACGTCTGGTCAGGGTGGGCTCTGCCTGTGCAGGGTCTTTGGGAGGAGAGCAGGTGCCAGCAGCTGGACGTGGCTGCCGGCCAGCACGGAGCACCGTCTCAGTCCTCCTCAGGCTCCTCCTCAGCTGCCTCCCGCTCTCTCTTACACAGAAGTAATGCTTCTCCCAGGGGCCTGTCACCTTCCCTGTCTGAGGTCCACGTTGGCTTGCAGGGTGTCCTCACAGCCATCCTCACAGCCATGCCCCCACTTCTGCCCAAGGCTGCTGGCTCTCCTCTCATGGAAGGGAGGACCCTTCTACTCATGATGTGTAGATCCTGTGGGGACAAATTGACCTTTCCAGGGTGGCATGATAAGCCACAACTGGCTGGGCAGCCCCAAGAAGAGGCTGTGTTTCTCCACAGTTGTGAGGCTTGAAGTCCAAGATGTCGGCGCTGGTTCCTGCTGAGGCCTCTCTCCTTGGCCTCTTCCCCTGTTCTCATGGGCTCTGCCCTCTGCCTGTCTGTTCCCAGGGTCCTATTCTCTTACAAACACACTGGTCATAATAGGGCAGGACTGACCCTGTGACCTTCTGTCACCGTATTTACCTGTATTAGGCTCTGTCTCCAAAGAGTCATGTTCTATGGTGGGAGGTTCAGCTTACGAAGTGTGGACAACACAGGTCAGCCTGCAGAACAGACATTCTTTGATACATCTGTGATCCCACTTCAGCTGTGGGTACAGGCCCTTCTTGTAACTTGGTAGGAAAGGTGACGTAAGGATGTCACTTCCATGACATCACAGGATGGGAAAGGAGATGAGGCAAAGGAAGCACTACAGATACACACACCCTAACGCCTTGTTCATGCTCAGCACCCTGGATCCCACAGGGCCAAGGAAATCGGCTGAGAAGCCAGAACTAAGCAGAAGAGTAGGTGAAATGGTGGTCCTGCAGCAGGGCTGGTTAAGAGGATGGCTGTCACACAGCAGGGTCAGAGGGTGACTGTTACACAGCAGGGTCAGA